GACGAGCATGTATGCTTAGATATATGGATGTAAAGGAGGCGAAAGAGGTATGTCAGGATCGTGTCAAATGGAAGTCCGTGGTCTCTGCCTACCCCTCTGGGTGACAGGCGTGAGTATTTATGCAATTATTATACATGACAAACATAAAAAGTAAGTTTCATTAATTTATTGATCAAAATAATTGTACATAGTTCAGACCCTCAAAGATGGCCTAAGAGCTGGTGCAATAATTATAAATAAAATATTAAAAGACAGACATATTAAAACCAATCATGTTAAAAAAACTTCAGACATTAAAATATTTTTAAACTCTTAGAAATAAAACTAAATAATGTTGCATGCAGTGATTTAAAAAATATGTACTAAATATCTAAACTTAATATTATAAAGAGGAACGATTTGTTTGTTTGTTTGAATTGAATAGGCTCCGAAACTACTGGACCGATTTGAAAAAAAAATTTCACTATTGTCACTACATTATCCCTGATGCGATAGAATATTTTGTAAATGTTAGGAATCCGCGTGAAAACTTCGTTAATTTAACCCACTGTGTAAAAAAATACTTATATCGGATACGCTACGGTACTATTAAAAATAGAGCAGTGATATACTACTACAGTTATAGATGACATCAATATCTACAAAAAAGTCTGGATATTGTTACGAGCTTGAGGTTCGTGACAATAAAAATTGCCGATAAAATTACCTAAATTAACACTTTAATTTACTTTACACAAATTAAAGTTAAAAACACTAATAATTAAACACACTAATTCACTTTATTCCGCTCCGAAGCTTCTCTTGTTTCGCCAAATCAACACTACTCGATCGCATCTTGCAGCGCCTACTTATATAAATTAGCAAAATATCCAGAATGTTCAAGTAAACACGCGCAAGGTACCGAGAGTTCGAGTTTTAAACTTCAAGAAGTTTAGTTCTTCGGGTGGCGCTGTCGGTCGAGTGATTTGTGATGTCATTTTCTCAATGCTCCCCTCGCTCTCGTTCCTGACACTAGATGGCGCTAGTGTATCGTCGACTTGAGCGCGTAACACTGCCCCCTCCTAAGACATTTATTATCGGCCCCATAATAACGCGCCAAGCGATCCACATGGACGATCTTAGGAGTCCCTCTTGCGCCTTTCTGTAACGGCTCCGCAATGTCAAGGGCTGTTCTATCCCGTGGTGCACCAACATTGTACAATTTCGGTGCTCCTATACTACGTGTCTGAGGTCCCCGCACGGCCGCACAACTTGTACATGTACGACACCAATCCTCGACATCGTCACGATAATGGACCCAGTAAAACTGTTCTCGGACCTTCAGTAGAGTTCGTTTAACTCCCAGATGGCCTCCTGAACAATCATTATGGTACAGCTGTAGAACATCCGGTACTTTAGCTTTAGGGACAACCATTTGCAAATGACAGCTGTCTCCCCGAACGTTTTCCCATTTACGACACAGAACTCCATCCTGAAGCAGCAAGCTGTCCCACTGGGCCCAATAGCTTTTAGTGGTCGAACTCATCGCTGAGACGTCACTCCACTTGGGCTTGGGAGCACTGGCCTTTATCCATTCCAGAATCGGCTTGATGTCCGGATCTTCCTGCTGTGCATGTAGTAAGCTGTCCTTCCACTCGTTGCTGAGGTGGTCTGTCCTGAGCATCCTCACGGATACCACTTCCTTACTCTCTTGCCTACTACAATGGTTGCAATCTTCAGGACAAGGTCTTCTTGTCAATGTATCTGCGTTGCCGTGAGATTTCCCGCCGCAGTGTCTGATAGTAAAGTCGTATTCCTGCTGCTGCTGGGTGGTGCTGTTAGCCGCACTTCCTTTCTGAGACCGTTCACCTTCCCTTCCTAGGGTGTGCTTAGGGCAGCTGGACCGAAGATGGCCCCTTTCCCCACAGCCATAGCACCTAGGGCTGTATCTTTTATTGTGGTCGCGAACCGTAACTGCTGTAACCTCCCTAGCGTGAGGTGAACGATGATCCTGTCGCCGCCAGGCAGTGCCGTTAGCTGTACTACCCTCTCGAGATCGATCAACTCTCCTTTCCACGGTTAGTTTAGGGCAGCTGGATCGAAGATGGCCCTTTTCCCCACAGCCATAGCACCTAGGGCTGTATCCTTTGCTGCGGTCACGGACTGTAGCTGCTGCAACCTCCCTGACGTGATGGGAACGATGATCCTGCCGCACGGCTTCTACCTCCAGTGCATGGGCCAAGGCGTCCTTAAGCGTCTCGTGGTGCCCGAGCCTCACAGCAGCTCTGACTTCCAGGTCACGGATGCCGACGATGAATGTCTGCACCAGGTTCCCTTCAATGAGCGCAGGTACAGACCGGTATGCTTTTCGCACCAGCTTCTCCACTTCTAGAGCCCACTGCTGCAGGTTTTCGTTGATGCGCTGCACACGATCTTTAAGCTGCGCACGAAAGACGTGTTCCAGGTGAGCGTCGCCATATCTCGCCTCCAATGCCTCAAGGAGTTGCTCATAAGTCACTTCCTCACCGAGAGCTTCCAGAACTGTTAAGGCCTGGTCGCACAGGCCTAGTGTGAGAGCAGTCATGGCCTGACTTTTATTCCAGCCGTTCGCCTTCATAACAGCCTCGAACTGGATTTTGTAGGCTGACCAGGAAGAAGTCCCGTCGAACGGTGGCACTTTGAACCCACGTAGCGAAGGTGTAGTAGCTACTACGGGAGCTGTAGTTCCATCACCCAGTTTGAGGTCGTCCAGCGTTTTCTTCACGTTAGCCACCACGTAATCAACCCGATTGTTCACTTGGTCGATTTGGGTTTTAACTTCCTTGATTTGGGTTTCAGCTTCCGACAGGCGGTTGTCATGTTGAGCAACCTTATCCTTCACCTCCTTTATCTCTTTCCCAAAGGGAGCAGGACGGTCCTTAATGAGGAGCATCTGCTCTTCCGACCGACGGGCCTGTGCCTCCGGGCGGCGGGCCTGCTCCTCTTGTCCGCCCCGCAGCTGCTCTTCCAATCGGCGGGCCTGTTCCTCCTGTCCGCTCTGCAGCTGCTCTTTCAACTGACGGACCTGTTCCTCCTGTCGGCGAGCCTGTTCCTCCTGTCGGCGAGCCTGCTCCTGCAGCATCACCATCAGAGCACCTAAGTCAGGTGCTGCAGATGTAGGAGCTACCGACGGGCCTGCAGCCGGTGGCTGGCCCTCCGACGTCTGTGGTGTTGCACCACCAAATCTTCGTTGGTCCGTCTCCTGCTGTCGTTGACTTCGGGTACGGACACCCTCCGTTTCCTCCTTAGGTAAAATCGGCATGATTTTATCCCACTTCTGACACCAATTGTTACGAGCTTGAGGTTCGTGACAATAAAAATTGCCGATAAAATTACCTAAATTAACACTTTAATTTACTTTACACAAATTAAAGTTAAAAACACTAATAATTAAACACACTAATTCACTTTATTCCGCTCCGAAGCTTCGCTTGTTTCGCCAAATCAACACTACTCGATCGCATCTTGCAGCGCCTACTTATATAAATTAGCAAAATATCCAGAATGTTCAAGTAAACACGCGCAAGGTACCGAGAGTTCGAGTTTTAAACTTCAAGAAGTTTAGTTCTTCGGGTGGCGCTGTCGGTCGAGTGATTTGTGATGTCATTTTCTCAATGCTCCCCTCGCTCTCGTTCCTGACACTAGATGGCGCTAGTGTATCGTCGACTTGAGCGCGTAACAATATAATATATCTAACTATTACAGTTATGTCACCATAACTACTTTTTCATGTTAAAATACGCAATAGTAACGCCGGTACAGTCCCTTCAGCGGTGCCAAGTTGACTGTCGGTATATCGAAGTGCTGAAGTGTTTGTACAGTAGAGCTACGATGGCTATCCAAGTACAGAACCAGAGTTCGAAACCTATCCAACTGCAGAGAGGTGTAAGACAGGGTGACGTTATATCCCCGAAACTCTTCACCGCTGCGTTGGAAGACGTTTTCAAGCTACTGGACTGGAAAGGCTACGGTATTAACATCAATGGCGAGTACATCACTCACCTTCGATTTGCCGACGATATAGTTCTTATGGCAGAATCGCTGGATGACCTTAGCACTATGCTCAATGACCTCAATGCTGTCTCCCAACGGATAGGTTTTAAGATGAACATGGACAAAACAAAGATCATGTTTAATGTACATGTCACACCTATGTCGGTAGTTGTTGGGAGCACTATGCTCGAAGTTGTTGACGAGTATGTTTACCTGGGACAAATAGTCAGACTAGGTAAGTCCAATTTCGACCGAGAGATCAATTGACGGATCAATTCGGCTGGCAGCGTTCGGGAAATTACGACACATCTTCTCGTCAGGCATACCTCAAACGCCAGTGATGACTCACGGATCTGAGACGTGGTCCTTCACTACTGGCCGTATGAGGACGCTCAAAGTCGCTCAGCGAGCTATGGAGAGGGCTATGCTCGGAGTTTCTCTGCGTGATAGACTCAGAAATGAGGATATCCGCAGTAAAACCAGAGTGACCGATATAACCTAACGGATTAGTAAGCTGAAGTGGCAATGGGCCGGCCATGTACCTCGAAGAATCGATCACCGATGGGGAAGAAAGGTTCTCGAGTGGCAGCCTCGCACCGGTAGGCATAGTGTAGGGCGACCCCCACTAGACGGAGTTACGACCTGGTAAGGCATACAGGAAGTCGATGGATGCAGGTGGCTCAGAACCGTGCTTTGTGGTGTTACTTGGGGGAGGCCTACGTTCAGCAGTGGACTCGTGAAGGGCTGTAATGATGATGATGAAGAAAGTTAAATTTACGATCATAAAATGTAAATAAATAACGATTGATTGATTGCGGTGATTTCAAAATTGATTTCGGTGCACCTATTTCCACAGAAAACACCGAAATCAATACCACTGAAATCAAAATAATTAACAAAATTCTAAATCAATCAAAAATAAACTGATTTTATTAGATATTAAAATTTAACTTTCTTACCACCCCTTATCTTGTTTCAGTATTGATATTATGTTAGATTCAAAAGAAGATCGGTTGGCTAAAAAGAGATTGTCTGAACGACGTCGGAAAGCTCGCATTAAGAGTGATACAGAGCTTTACGCAGTGCACAAAGAGAAAGATAGACAACGGTATTATAAAAGGAAGAATGAAGGAAAGATAAAGTCTGTAAGTGAATTAGATCCTCGTCAACAACGAATTTTTAGAGAGAGAAGTAGAATATCTTCCAACAAACACAATTTGAAAAGAAGGCGTAAAGAAATGAGGTGTCTTGAAGAGGATTTAATAATCGTACCAGAAGTAACCGACAAAACTGACGATCCTTTGGTGACTTCACAATCACAAACAATACGATCAGAATTGCTTCAAACTGAAGCAAGTTCCTATGTTGATTTGCTACCATCAAGTTCATCCGTCATTTCATTTGCTTTAACTCAGCGTATTAAGGCTTATCGAGGCTCGTCAGCACCATTGAGTCCGTCTAGTGACGTAAATAAAATTTCAAAGCCATGTACAAGATCATCAGTTCGTGTGATTGAAAAGGAGTTTCCTCCAACTCCAAAAGCTAACAAGAAACTGAATACCAAAGTTATCACACGTAGACTTAAATACAGCATGAACAAAATATATCAGTTAGAGAAAGAGAAGATTAATCAATTGAAGACTGTCAACGAACGACAGCGAAAACAGATATATAGACTAAAATACCAAAGTGCTAAATTAAGAGAATATGAACATATAAGTAAAAATAATACTGAAGATATTAAACAAAGTGAATCAGACACTATAAAAGAATTAAAAATAATGTGGAAGAGGACATCAAAACTTTTCTTGAAGAAGATGAAAACAGTCGTATGTGTTCTGGGAAGAAAGAGTTACCCAGAAAAAGAATAAAAAACAAAGACGCTATTTAAATGATTCTTTAAAAGACTTATATACTAAGTTTAAGCAAACAAATCCCCAAAATAAAATTAGTTACTCCAGTTTTTGCAAAAAACGACCGTTGGATACTGAAACCTAATGTAAATAAACGAGAAACCTGTCTTTGTATCGAACATGAAAATATGGACTTGATGGTGACTGCTTTAAAAAAAAACAACTTAATTCAAGAAAACTACCAAAGATATTTTGTCATCACTGTGTTGTGACTCTTTGAATGTGTCATGTTTAACTAGAAAATGCGATGACTGCAAAGATAAAAGCTTAATCTATAATGAATTCAATAACACTGAAGTATTGTTTTACTGGATTTGGCAAAAAAGTAAAAGAACTTATTACAAGAATGGAGTTACAAAAACAACCATTCACACAACGAAAGATAAAGTGACTACTTTCCCCAGGGACACCATTTTAAAATTTGAAAAAATGTTACCTTCATACATGACTCACTGTGGAGTTATGATCGCACAAAACAAGTTTATTAAAAAAATGAAAAGTGACCTCACTGAGGAAGAGTGTATAATTCACTGCGACTTTAGTAAAAATTACAGCACAAAATACGGTAACGAAATTCAAGCCGTTCATTTCGGGGGTAACCGACAACAAATAACCCTGCACATCGTGGTCATTTATTATCATAAAAATGGACTGTGGATGTGTACATTATCAGAGTCTATACGCCATGATGCACCAGCCATTTGGGAACATTTACTTCCGATTTTAAAATTCATAGAAGATGAAAATCTCAATATTCGTATACTACATTATTTCTGATAGTCCGTTGGCTCAGTACCGAAACCGTAAAATGTTTTACATCATCAGTAAATTCCATTGGTACTTTCCCAGTTTGACTAGTATTACATGGAATTACACAGAAAGTGGCCATGGAAAAGGAGCCCCAGATGGTGTCGGTGCAACACTCAAAAGAACAGCTGATCGAATAGTTGTTAAAGGCAATGATATCACAAGCTTATCATCATTGATGACTCATCTGAAATCTGTTCAAGGTATTATAACAAAAACTATTGACGATTCCGGTATTTATGAAAAAGAATTGCTAATTCCATCCAATCTCAAGCAATTTGCAGGGACTATGAAAGTACATCAGGCAGTATGGGACGCCAATAAGCCCAACCAACTATCGATGAGAAAAATGAGTTGCGCCGAAGGTGAATGTAAAAATAATTCAGTGTCATGTGAACATGGGTATCATGTAGGAGCAAGCTGATAGACTGTTGACTGATACGAACGAACAAAAACAAGAGTGACAAGATCAAACTGATTAAAAAGTCAAGTCAAGCCAAAAAAGGGAGTGGAGTCAGTGCAACTGAATCTAATAAGCCTCAAATTTTATCGAATATTCTAATACAACCTGGTTGTGGCTATTCTGTTGATGTTGCTGATGAGTTCTATGAAACCAAACAGCGTCTGTCCCGTACCTTACCTTCAGACATTGGATTACATGAAAGTAACAGCTTATGGACATGTGTGTCGACAGATTGTGAAAATATTGCTCCGACATTAATGAATGAAGTAGTCTCCAAAATTGTAAATTGTAAAGAAAGTAGTGACGAGAAATATAACATTTTTTAATTAAGGAGTGAAAACTGTAATACAAAGTTTTATAAGAAGTTTATTACATTGTTAATTTAATGCTAGGTGATTATTATACCTAAAGCTTATTTAATTGTCTTAAAATCAAAAGACAAAGTAATATTTTTATTAAAAATACATATACTATTAGTTATGTAAGTGCCTTCTACAATTGTTGATGTTGTATAAAGGATTGATTTTTAAGTGATTTTGTAGTAATTTTTTTCAATAAGTAAATTGCCTGTGATTAAGCTAGATCACGACCAAGAATGCTGATTTTTTTAAGTTCCTATAATGTTAGTTTAAGACTACTATCATTAATGTCATTTAATATAATAATTCAACGCTTCCTACCAAAGTTGAAGTTTTCACAAAAATTACTAAAAATGGTTACACATAAGTCTTGATAAAATAATTTTTTTTATTGTCAAATTAACCTGCAATTCCTTACATATCATAAGTTCATAGTAGTACTTAGGCAGTAAATTTACCTTAAGAAAATTATCTTTGAAATATAAATTATTTTATATTTATTTGATTTTGGTGATTAAAATATTGATTTCGGTGGACACCATTTTTTTTTAAATTAAATAACTTCTTAACCATTCGGTCTATACGATTCCCTCTTCTACTTATATATATTAAATTAACTCTAGAATAGATATTTCATGTTAGTAAGGCCTAAATTTAAAAACAAAATTGCCACCGAAATCAACCAAATAATGAGTCGCCTGATAATGACCCAGAAATCATTAGGTTTTTTTCCATAATATCAAAATTAAGGTGTCATCAAACAGCTTATGTGATTAGTTATCTACTTAAGCATCTCAATTAGTAAGTTTAGAAAGTTAAAAGTACATTATAATGTGATGCAGAGATAAATAACTTCTATTTAGATCTATATCTATGAGTCCGATAGTATTTTTGAGCTTGAATTTTTACTTTGTCATTTTCTTCAATTTTGACATGTTTACCCTGCAATATTTTATTGACATTCGTGCACGTGAATAATTAAGCTGATTATATAATTAATTATTGTTGGCGACGCGCCTATAAGAATATTTCAGTTTATTAAGTCAACCGATGACGAATAGCTTCTAAGAGGCAAATTGTCCAATAGCAATGTTCTAATAAGAAAATGTTTAGTTAAATCTTAAAGAATGTCGAATTAATGATATGAAGGTCTTGGGTTCGACTCCCAGGCAGGACTAGTTTATTGTTTTCTTAAGTAATATCTCTTAATAAATTCAAAGGAATATTAAAGTGAAGGTACAGATCGGATTTGTTCCCCGGTCGAGATGATCACTCTGTGCATAAATAGAATTAACGGAAATTAATTGCATAAGTATTGCCTTATATGAGTTTGATATGTTTTGTATGAAAATAAATGCCTATTTGCTATGATTGATTTATGAGAACATTTACTTATATTGTTATCTGATAAGAAACATGATAACTGATAAGAATCTGATTAGAAATAGTTTCCTACAGTTTGAAAATTGTGTAGAAGCATTTATTCACCTAATACTGTCGATATTGGTGTATATTAGACTTTTCATTTTTTCTGATAGTCGAGAGCCGTGCAAAGTTAGTTGTTCAAATAGTGTGAGTTCATAGACGCACGCTAAGCCACGCCCTTAGGAGGCCAAATATGTAAAAATTTAAATATTTGTAATTTCAGCAATTTATGTAAAAATGACTTGTGAAACATTTCAGATTGATTGTACGTGCAAAAGAGGTGAATTCTGTGTTATTTTTATGTGAAAATTCCTGTGTACTCGTATAAGTGAAATAATGATAGTTTTGTATAAGAAATTTAAGTGTTTTAATAGTGAAATGAATAGAGAAAATGTAAATTAAACTGTTGTATTGGTTAACTTATGTATAATTTCAAGTGGAAAACATTGTTTTAACTTTCTATGTTAAATATTTAAGAAATTTCGACTTTGAACTTGTGAGTAAAATAGGCATATTTTGTTAAATAATTAATAGGTCTTTTGTGATATGAAAATGTAATGTATATCGTAGTGTAGATATTGTTTTGTGCTATCTATACAGGTAAATTATGTTGATGTATGACTTATGCAAATAAAGTAATTAAGTAAAACGTGAGAGAGTAATGGAACAAATTCATGTAATTGAGTTGCGCAAGCGCGCGAATGGCGTGGCTCACTTTCGCGTATAGCTTTGGGGTAGCTCAGTAAATGAGTTTTATTGCAATTCGTTCGGGAAAAAAGTTCGGGTATCGTTCGGGAATCCTTCGGGAAAGTTCGGAAAAAGTGCAAGACCAGCAGTCAATAAGAAGAAGAAAGAAAAAGTGTAGGGAAGTGATAGGGAAAAGTAATTACTCTCTCACGGAACGGTTTGAAGATAATTGCTGTTTTATTCCCAAGAAATTCATCCCTCAAAATTATACAGTCCACATCGAAGAATTAAGGCGTTGGGACCGGGACGACTTCGGAAGACCCGTAATCCCCGCCTGAACCTATTTTCTGAAAAGGAAGAGGTTATCGCCCTTGTGTGTTACTCCGCCAGCGGAGATCACATACGTTGTTCCCGAACCCAACGTAGGCGTTATAGGAAGCCGAATCGAGAGAAGCCTCGATTCCTCCCTTCTGTTTCTTAATCCCCTCGCTGGTTCCTTTTCAATTGGACCTTCGGGGCCGGATTAAGAGGACCGAAGCCCGCTGGTTTCTTTTCAATTATAAAGGTTTTTAAGTTGTCTTAGTGTCTTTTACATGACAAAAATTCGAATTACACACTAAGATTTATTAATAAATTCTATCACATATACCACTGTAGTGGCCGTTTTGTAAAGCATTTTTTATTATTTTGATCACATTTTCAACACATTCCTTCTAAAAAGTTTTGGGAGGGTCTCATAAGTGATCTCCGCGTGACATCTAGAGATAAAATGTAATCATCTACTTGTGGCGGAGTTGTATCACACAATTCATTGTTACATGTAATACATGATTTGCAAACTTTAATTTTTGACTTTTTAATAACTTGCCCTGCCACATATCTTTTTGTCTCCGTGACAATGTTATTTGAAACTTCTTGCGAATTGTTACCTGCCAAGTTTTGAACTATAAAATCTATATTAATTCTATTTTCCTTTGGGGGCAGAGGTAATTAATTTTTTGTCAACAGGCAATCTAAATTATTTAAAACTTTATTAGTCTTCCTCACAATTTGCCCCCAAGGAATGTGTTGAACTCAAATTATTTAGAAGTGATGTTTTATAAATACTTTGAAATTGTAGACATGTAGGATTGTTGTTTCTAGCCCCGTGGCTTCTTACCGAGGAGAAAAAGTTTTCCAAGGGATCTTGGTTAAAATTACGCATCAAGATACTTTTT